AAGCCACGGCTGCCTTTTCCTCGTCGTCAGACTCGTACGTCACTGGCGTCTCATCAGGCTGTGGTTCTTGGTCCAGGGGCGCGGCGCCCCCCGGGATGGCGTCTCCCTTGGCGCGGTATCCCTGAGGTCCTGAGTTGTACGACACGTCGACCGTCTGTCCGTCGGGCGTCAGGTAGACGTAGCGACCCGTGACGACCCCGTTTGCGTCGCGGGACTCCACGCGCCACTGGTCCTCGGCCTGCATCCCGAACCTGGCGGAGGAAGGCTCGGGTAGCGGTTGGGCGCTGGAGAGCTGGGTCTCGGTGTCATTATTGTCCTTATCATTTATCATTATCAGTAACATTATAGTTGTTATTATCATCATTGTTGTAGTTATTAATGTCATTATCGTTATTATCAATATCATTATTATCATTGCTATTATTATTGCCATTATCATTATCATTATTATCAATATCATTATTATCATTGCTATTATTATTGCCATTATCATTATCATTATTATCAATATCATTATTATCATTGCTATTATTATTGCCATTATCATTGGTATTATTGTTATTATCATCATCATTATTATCATTATCATTGTAGTTATTATCTTTATTATTATTATCATTATTATTATCACTATTGTTATTTCTATTACTGTTATTTTTATTATCACTATTGTTATTTCTATTATTGTTATTGTTATTATCAGTATTGTTATTTCTATTACTGTTATTTTTATTATCACTATTGTTATTTTTATTATCACTATTGTTATTTCTATTATTGTTATTGTTATCATAACTATTGTTATTTCTATTACTGTTATTGTTATTAATGTTGTTATTACTATGATCATCATTATTGTTATTATAATTACTACTACTACAATTATCATCATCATTAGTACCATTCATATCCCTCATCATCATTTCAACTATTATTTGTTATCATCATTGATCATTATGATGATTATCACCATTATTACCATTACTATTTGTATTGTATAAATATTTCATTATTGTCATTCCCATTATCACTGTTATCACCATCGCCACTTTTATGAGAATTGATGGCACTCAATCAGTTTTAGAATAAAGAAAATAAAAAGGGGATGAACGTTCCTGAATTTGTTATATATATATATATATATATATATATATATATATATATATATATATATATATATATATATATATATATTACACATTTATAAAGTTCTTTATATCTTTCATCTACTCGCAGGAATCATCATCATCGTCATTATTACTATCATTATTATTGCTGCTATTGTTATTATTACGATTGCCATTATTATTATTACTATTATTATCATTATAATTATCATTATTATCATCTTTATTATTACCATTATTATTATCATGATATTATTATTATCATTATTATCAAACTGTTACTTTTATTATAATCTCACCATTATCATCATTATTCTATTTTATTTTTTATGCTAAGATTTGCCTAACGTGAGATAACTAATGGCACGAATGTCACATTGACAGATTGATGATGATAATGTTTTGGTAACAATGAATAAATGAATAAAACAAATAGATATATACATAGATAGACAGACTGATAGATAAATAGATATATCTAACATTTCGTTATTTTGAGCCTCAGACATCTTCAGCAAACTACCTACTTGTTCTACAATCATCTTTTGGTCTATTATCAATCACCGGTTGATCTATTAGCACGTCCCATTTTCCTTTCCCTCAAACCTGCGTCAGAACAACCAGCGATCTGCAACCACCTGCCTGTATCTTACCCATCTGCCAATCCACCCTTACCATCTGCTCTATATCAGGCCACATGGATACACTATATTGCTGTTACCAATCTCACTCTCTCTCTCTCTCTCTCTGTTTGCCTCTCTTTGTCTTTCTCTCTCCCTCTCTCTCTGTTTGACTCTCTTTTTCTTTCTCTCTCCCTCTCTCTCTGTTTGTCTCTCTCTCTTTTCTCTCTCTCTTTCTCTCTCTCTCTCTCTCTTTTTCTTTCTCTCTCCCTCTCTCTCTGTTTGTCTCTCTTTTTCTTTCTCTCTGTTTGTCTCTCGTTCTCTCCTTTACCTGTGCTCATCCGCCGACTCTACTGCTGCCCCGTGCCTTATGCATGATCCAACCACGCCCCCCTTGCCCAGTGCCAGATCACTTGTCCTTGAACCATCTGCCAACACCGATCTAACTCCTTGCTACTTACCAGACCACTTGAACACCCACCTACCAATCCCTTTCTACCCCTTTCCCCATGTAAGAACACCTGGTCACTCACCTACCAATCCCTTCCTACCTCTTGCCCCATGTAAGAACAACTGGTCACCCACCTACCGACCCCTTCTTACCCCCCTGCCCGATATCAGACCACCTGGCCACCCACCTGTACGTTCCGTCAACATCAGTCCAAATGAAGAGGTCAGGAGAGGCTGCAGGGAGGTTGGAGGTAATGTCAGGCAGAGCTTGAGGTTGGTCTGCCGCTCCTCGATGCTCTACAGGCAGGTCTTGGGCGGGGGCGGCCAGCGTTGCCTCCGTCACGGCCCATAGGAGCAGCAGCGCCCGCGACACCTGGTGGGGGAGTAGAGGAGGGTGAGTTGGTGTGCTGGTGAACGTGGTCTGATGTTTTCGCTAGGTGGTTAGTGAACTTGTTTTGATGTGTTAGCTAGGTGCATGGCTAAGTTGATGTGATAGGTGGTTGATTTGTTGAGTATGTGTTTCGTAGGTGATGGGTGAAGGTGAGTTAATAATAATAATAATAATAATAATAATAATAATAATAATGATAATAATGATAATAATAATAATTTAGGGCTTCCTGTGACAGGATCTTGTGACATCAGTCAAATTGTGGCTTGTCTGTTTATTGTGCTTCTAAACTATCGCCTGTTTGCAAAGAATGGGCGGAGTTACCACGGCATTATGCTGGTTATGGACGTTGGTGAAGTTGTTCTGATGTTTTTTTTCTAGGTGGTTAATGAACTTGGTTTGATGTCTTAGCTAGGTGCATGGTTAAGTTGATGTGCTAGGTGGTTGATTTGTTTAGTGCATGTGCTTAAAAGGTGAAGGGTGAAGGTGAGTTAGAGTGCAGGTTATGGCCGATTGATGAAGTTGATGCTCTCGCTAGGTGGTTAGTGAACGATTTGATATGTTAGCTATGTGCTTGATTAAGTTGATTTGATGTGCTGGCTAGGTTATTGGGAAAGATGGCATGACGTGTATACTAGGAGATTAAGAAAAGTTAATTGATGTACTCACTAGCTGGCCAATCAATTTAGTGGATTTTTACTCGCCAGGTGACCAATTAAGTTAACGTGAAGTGTTCTTTAGATGATTGAGGGGACTGTTCTAGGTGATTGGAAATTTTAAAGAGCTTGCAACGGGATTTTGAAACTAATATGATGTGATTGTAGGTGATTAATGCAATTATTTTGATGCGTTTACCGGGGTTACTGACTTATTTATTGCAATATGCTTCCTAGATTATTGATTATAGCTTTTTGATGTTCCCCATAAATAACTTCATAATTTGTTACCGTCGCTTGGTGATTGAGGAAGTCAAAATTCACCTGTACAAACCGAAATTTGCATAAATGACCTTAAAATGGAAATGCTATCGATTCAGTCAAGAAAAGTGTTTTAGAAGAAAAACAGAAATCAGTTTATTATGTTTATATTGACAACAAAACTGTAGTTGTAATTTAGTAGTAGTTGCAATTTTAGCTGCAGTAGTAGTGTTAAAAGTAATAGCATTGGTAGTAGGATTAAAAGCAGTAATAGCGATAACTGTAATAACCAGGACAGTAATATTAAAAATGATGGCAACAACAACGATGATAATGTAACAATAATGATAATAAGGATGATGATGTAGATAGTAAGACACAATAAATATAATGCAAATAACAAGAGTAAAACATTCTAATATTCGTTATCATCCACATGCCATGCTGACAATGACAAACTGCCTTCCAAATGGACAGAATCCCGATAAGCAACATTCCATTCGCTTGCAGTATTGCTTGCATGTCGTGCACTTCTCTCTCTCTGCAGGAGGGAAAAGCAGATGTCTTTATATATTAGTTTTTGTACGTGTGGTTGTGTGGTTGTATGTACGTATGTGTGGAGTTTGTGTGTGTGTGATTGTGTTTGTGTGTGTGAGTGTTTGTTTGTGTGTGTGTATGCGTGTGTTTCTGTATGTTCGTTAGCGTGTGTGTGTGTGTGTGTGTGTGTGTGTGTGTGTGTGTGTGTGTGTGTGTGTGTGTGTGTGTGTGTGTGTGTGTGTGTGTGTGTGTGTGTGTGTGTGTGTGTGTGTGCGGTTCTCCATTTCTCTCCAAAACATGCAAAAAATATAACAAATCAGACACACAGAAGAAAGCCTTAGACAGGATGACAGATTAGTGATCAATCCAGTCAATTATTGTGGCATTTATGAAGCTCAATTTTTCATGTTCTTCAAACTCGCTTATAATGGACGTGACAGTTGAAACTTGGAGCATGACAAATGAATTACCTTTTCTTCCTCTCTCCTCCCCCTCTCTCTACCTCCTCCCCCTCTACCCATCCCCCCCTAATCCTCCTCTCTCCTCCCCCTCCTATCCTCCCACCTCCCTCCCCCCTTCTATCCTCCTTCCCCCTACAGTCCCCCACCTCATCCCCCTACAATCCTCCTCCCTCCTTCCGCTCCCCCCTTCTATCCTCCTCCCTCCTCCCCCTCCCCCTTCTATCCTCCTCCCTCCTCCCCTTCCCCCTTCTCCTCCTCCCTCCACCTTCTATCCTCCTCCCACCTCCTTCTCCCTACAATCCTCCTCCCTCCTTACCCTACCCCTTCTATCCTTCTACCCTTCTACCCTCCTCCCCTTCAATCCCCCCCCCCCCCGATCCCCCTTCCTCCTCCATTCCCTCCTTCCTCTGCCCAGGTCTTCTGCTAATGCTATCTCGGTTTTTACTGTCATGTCCTCAGTAACCCAAGCTAAAATACACAGAAGATGAAAGAGGATTCACAGTATGGGCTTTCGCGTATCCCCTTGTCCTCTTACTGTAGAATATTGTACGCAGTGAACGCAAAAAAAAGTAAATAAAAAAGCATAAACAAAGATGGAAGGGAGACCAATCACAATTTTATTTCTCATTTGTGGATGTTTACCCCTTGTCCTCTTACTGTAGAATATTGTACGTAGTGAACGCAAACAAAACAAACAAAAAAATGTAAACAAAGATGGAAAGGAAACCAGACATAATTTCATTTATTTGTGGTTGTTTTTTTTATTTGTACGTAGTGTTCAGCATAGGTACCCGAGGCCTGTGCTATAATGGCGAATGACTATGCGTTGTCGGGTCATACACCCCGCTGCTCCCTTTTGGCATGGGCACTACCATTCTGGGTATGCGAGGGTCATGAGCCATGTAGAGATAGTGGAAGTATGAACCGTATTCATTGCGAGACTTACAGGAAAAGTATGGAAGAGAATGAATATCTTCACAATACAAAAGATGTATTCGACCGGTTTCATTGTTTTTTTCTTTTCTTTTCTATTTTCTTTTTTCTTCTTTTTGGGCGAAGATGTAAACGAAACCGGCTGAATACATCGTCTGTAATGTGAAGGTATCCGTTCTTAGTCATACCTTTTTTTTAAGATAATAGAAGTGCTTTGGTCACGCAAAGATTGACTCCAGAGGTTCGAAGTATTCAACCGAGTATCTCTGGCACCGAGATTGTGTTTTTGTAACATTTTTCACTGACAATGGTGGTGAAGAATAATAATTTTTTGTGTTTTTTCTTTAACATTCAGAATATTCTTGGTATACTTGATGATTATGGCAATATACTGGATGCTGAATACTATATACTGAATCCTGGAACGTGCTGAATATGACAGTATATCTGAACAATCTATTATTAGGATAATTGCGTAGGCTGGTGAAGATACTGGCACCTGAGTCAATACAACACTGAAAATCTGTCTACAAATTTGTAGTCAATATTCACATACAACAGCGAAAATGTTTAAAAAGGAAAATCGTGGTGTAGTTCATAGAAAACTGGCTATGGCAATTGTAACTTTATTCTTCGCTGTCTTCTGTGTCTCTTTATTCTTTTGTTTATATACCTGTCGATCCATCTGTCTATTTACCGTCTATCCATCTGTCTACTCATCTATCTATTTATTAGTCCGTCTATCTGTTTGTCTATCAATCTGTCTATATACCTGTCGATCCTTCTGTCTATTTACATGGCTGTCCATCTGTCTATCAATCTGTCTATATATATGAAGATCTATCTGTCTGTCTGTCTCTCCATCTGTTTATCCATCTGTCTATCGACATGTCTATTCATCTAACTATCTGTCTGTCAATCTGTCGAACCATCTGTCGCCTCCTTAGCCTTACACCACAGGTTTGCCAGCATAATGTAACTAATATATTTTAGTTGTCTTCCATGTCTGCAAACAAACACACACATATACAAACAAATAAATTTTTGTATCTATTTATCTATCTATCGATCTATCTATCTATATATGTATGTGTGTGTATATCTATCTATCTATCTCTATATATATCTATGTGTGTGTGTGTGTGTATGTATGTATACACACACACACACACACACACACACACACACACACACACACACACACACACACACACACACACACACAGCTTATATAGAGAAAAAACAATCAAATACCAACAATAAAATAAACTGACCTAACATACCATGCAATAACACACATACATCCCATACTTCTATAAAGAAAGACAATAGAATACCAGCGATAAAAAACTGACATGACATGCCACACAACGACACACACACTTCTCATACTTACGTAAAGAAAGACGATCAAATACTAACAATAGAAAAAAATTGACATAAAATACCAAAGAACGACACGCATATGACAAACTTATATAAAGAAAGACGATTAAATCCCAATATTACAATGAATAAAAGCATAATAAATAGATAAATAAATAGATAGATAAATGATAGATAAAATATATAGATAAATAAATAGACAAAAACAGATAGATAGATAAATAAATAAACAATAGATAGATAAAAAATAAAATTAAATAAATAAAACTGATATAACATGTTACGAGTGTCGAGGGGAGAGCAAGAAAGGTGTGTAATTACGAATTTTCCGAACCCGAACTACGATCTCCGTGCAGATCGAACGTAGCAGATAACAACGGATTCCAAGGTCGTAGAAGATCTGGTTAGACGAGTTTTCCGTTCACTCGTTAGCATTTTTGCGTGCGTATATAATGCACGAAGGAGGAGGGGGTGGTAGTTCATGCTGGCGTTGTCTCTCGCGGGCGATGGGGGTCTTTGATTAGCGAGGAATAAATTGATTTCATAAAGCGAATTGGATCTTGTTTTGTAGACGCACATACATATACACATACGCACATGTATGTATATATGCATACATATACACTAATCGTATGGACAAATGTGGTATTTCGTTAGTCACACACACACACACTCTCTCTCTTTCTCTTTCTCTCTCTCCCTCACTCTCTATCTATCTCTATATCTGTGTCCCTATCTATCTATCTAT